ACCTAATGTTAGGAAGCAATGTCCTAACTAGTTGTCTTGAGATAACTGGGCCTCGTGCCAACAGTTATGTCGTCATTACCTCAGTAAGCATACTGAAAGGTAGGTCTGGCTGGGCCAATGCCAACAGTCAAGTCAGGAGTCCAGGTAATCGCTGTATTCAACAGGAGGTTGAACTAAGGAATACATGGGTTTTCCTACAGTTACAAGTCCTGAGGTACAAAGGTTGAGTCCTTACGCGCAAAATATGCCTGCGTGCCGAACGTTGTACCCCGTGAGAACAGTTTGTGCCGAGAAGTCGTGGGAGTCATGTTTTGTATTGCAGACTACATTTTTGAAACTCCGATTGGAAGTCAGGTTGTATGTGAGACTACAAAACCACTTTTGGCGCATTTTTGTAGTCTCTGGGACCATTGTTTGCTCATTTGCGGGCTCAATTCTTCGTCTTATCTCTCTTTTATTTTCTCTAGTCTGGGGTGTATGCTATACAGGTCTACAACAGCATTTTCATGAATTTATTGTTTCGCTTGGCAGTCCCCGGCTTCAATGGCCCTTGAGAACGAGGATTGCCACTCTGTGGTGACTTTGTTAGCAGATATGATGTTCACCATGTACTCTGTAGGGGCATCTAAGAGAGGCAGAGCGCGGGGCGGGGCAGATGTTGAAGGAGCCATAGACAGCAAATAGACGGCAAAGAGATTTTATGCGTGATAGAAAGACTAGGCCCCAGGCAGAGGGGTTTCCTTAGTGTCAGAAATGCCCCGCGGAAGACAGAACTGAGAAACACAAGCAGAAGCATCAACTAGAAGGATTCTCCAACATTGGGCCACATTCTTGGACTAAGCATACACCCTGAGAACGCTGTGCATCTTTCATCGTCGAGGCAAATGAGGGAGATTAGCACCATGAAGAACAGACCCGGACCCACAGGCACCTACATGCCAGAGGATCGCATAGCTGCAGTTATGAGCATATCATTCAAGCCTGCTTTGAACGGTGTCCAAGTTCCCTGCATTACTACACAGAATAACTCTTGGTAATTGTATTGAAGGGCCCCTTCTTGCATTTCCCCCTCCTTTGGGAGGGATTCTGGCACCCTTGAATTGCATCGCACTTTTCGTCGCACCGGCATAATCCGGCATGCTATGTTTGGCTCTAGTGGCGCCGCTACTGAACAAGGACTTGGCCATGGTCAGGAATCCATCTCAATGTTCACACTCAAGTCCCTCTCAACTACACTGGGTTCAAAAAGTATTCGAACATGGCACTCTAGAATAAAAATTCTTTTGAGCATTGAGGTTTTGGTCCCTAGTGATCCCTGATTGGCACTCATCTACTCCTCCCCTAACCCTTTATGATACATAGCCTGATAAGGGGAGAGGCCATTGTATCTGGTGTATATATGTGACCCTGTTATGTGACTGTTGATACTCAAACAAATTGGGCATGTAGTGAGTGAACTAGAGGTCCCCTTGACAAAAGGCTGCATGAATAAACATAGTACATTCTAAAGCTCTTGATCCAGCTCAAGGATCCCCAGCAGGTAACATCTGGCCATGCAGAAAAATCATAGAAAAAATGTCCCATCTTGGGAGGAGAAATATTGATGTCCTTCTGTTGGCACTGGGACCCACTAAGAGCTGTATGGTCAAACTCTCTGTGGAATGTGGACTTCAGAAAACACCATATTTACCCAGTCAGACTTGTAGTTGGGTTGCTGCTGTACCATTGCCTCCTCCAGATGATATTTTTCAAAACTTTCTTATGAAGCAACAGGGGCATTATGAGACAACGTGGTAGTTGGATCCTTTAAAGAGGTGACTGTGCTACCTGGGCATGGCAAAAACTTAGAATGAAACTCTCCTGTACTGGTTGTGCCAAGCATTGATTGAGATGCTCCTTTGGGAGTAAATTGCTTAGGCTGTAACTACCATATTTGGGCATATATAACCCAATATAGTATGTAGTGTAGAAGCCCCCAGCACTCCTCTGATTGACCCCCAACAGGTTTTACAGTAAGTGAAAGTCTCAGTGCTCCAAGGAATTTTCATTCCAGACTGCCGTTTTCGAATACTATTTGAACCTAGTGTATTTAATTAGTGTTGGTTTGTGGATGCCACCAGGTACAGATGAAGGCCTATTGTGAGCTAGAACTTAGAGGTATAAGGAGTGCATAGTATTAAGCATAGATCCTTGTACCTCAAAATTTTTGAGTGTTGTATGTCATGGCTTGAGAAGGATTTGAGTGTTACAGTATGTGCACTCCATCTAACATGGGTATTCAATCATTCTAGTTTTCTGGGTCTCCATGCTATACATACGTCTGTGATGGACAATTTACTAATAAGTAGAATCAAGAAATTGCATGTCATTCCATGGCTTATGATCATGAGGCCCAACAGACTGTAAGATAAAACTATGATGTGAAGTGGATGCCAGATGCCCAGGCAACAGACATGCACCATTATTCTTGGAGAGGGGGTTAAGTATTGCTTAGACTACTTAGGATACAACAGCACAGGACATTCTACCTGGCCCTAGATGGAGCTTGACTGAAAGAGAACCGGGGGTCCCCTATATTACTAACAATATCCCTTGCATTATCTTACATGGTAGAAATACTCTCCTAACGATGATTTGTCAACCCCCTTGTAGCAGCCGCAACATCTTGAACTTAGTGCAAGTTCTCAAGGTCAATTGCTTGAACAAAGGAGGGGTAAGTTGCCGGCGTCAGACGGCGCTTCACAAGTTGCATACTGCAGTCGTGGTTGCGGCCTAAGGCTGAGGGACTTAGTAACTTAGAAGCTGCCCGGGTTCATCGGCTCGGCGTGACGAGTGACGACACCGGGCTGAAGACGCGAGCTTGCCACATTTTGGACTTGATTGTCTGCCACAATCGTGCGGGCTCGTATTCGCTGAACTCACTTATCCTGAAAGCTCATTTGAAATAACACATATATAAATTTCCAGGGAGAAGTAGCTTGCGGTGACGGAAGATGGCCGCCTCGAGAATGTCCCAATACCTGAACCGGAGCGTCCGCTTCGCTCTGGACGGCACATCCAGAGGTATGCACTCCCCTCTTCCATAGTAACCTGAACCCACTCACACATTCCAATACAGTACTCCGTATGGCCGGCGCCGACGCGCCGCAGCGTACGCCCAAGACGCTGCTCACCTTCAACTCGCGCGCGGACCTCGAGCAGCTCGCGCTCGGCTGCGACGCCGACATCGGCGGCACGTCCTCCGTGCACATGGACCTCGACGAGGCGCACCGCTACGATGGCAGGCCGACGGGGAAGTTCTGGGGCGACATGCGCCTCGCGGTGCGGAAGGAGCTCGAGGGGCGCGTGCGCGGCGGGTACGCGGGGTTCCGGAACAAGGTGCGTTTGCCTATCTTCTTTCGCTGCGATAATGGGAACTATATGCGCGGGGATGCTAACGCCTCGCGTGCCAGCATAGACCGACGCTCTTCGGTGAGATCACCGAGGACGTCACCTTCCACGAGTACCTCGCCCTGCGCGTGCGCGCCGCGGGCGACCCGCGCACCCGGCACTCCTACTACGTCAACCTCCAGATGGACGGGCCCATCACGACCGACATCTGGCAGCACCGCCTCTTCTTCAACCGCGACGACGGCGCCTGGGAGGACCTCTACGTGCGTCTCTGTCCGTGTCCGTGTCAAGCGTGGTGCGGGGCTGACGGTGCAAGCAGATTCCGTTCGACGACTTTGTACTCACCAACGCCGGGGAGGTGGCGAGTAAGGAGATGACGATGGCGCGGGATAAGGTTAGGTCGATAGGCATATCCTTGCTAGGCGGGAATAGCGGTGTGGAGGGGCCGTACGAGCTCGGTATCGACTCCATCCGCGCAGTGAACGCAGAGGACGTGACAATACCGAAACGTGAGTGATTACGACATACTATTCAATTGGCTGTATGTATGCTGACCGAGGATAGCCCAAGGAGCTGTGTTACCAACCGTTGGCAATCCGGGAGAACAGCAATCAACATAATCCACGAGGTCCCGCACACTTGCACATCTGACAAGACACTAACACTGCACAGCAAAAGTATGGCTTTGCATAGTGACGACGTGTATTCAATCACCCTAATGACAACCTTTTGCACAATACAACAAGATATACTACGTACACTCAACGCTCAATGCCAAGCTAACATCGCCAAAATAGATCCACCCTCCTATCACTATTCCTACTCACTGCTCCTTCTTCTCCTCCTGCCCCCACAGCATCGCATCCACCCGCTCCTTCTCCCCTCTGAGCTTCAACAACAGCCCCCACACCGGCGTCAGCACCGGCACGAACATCGCCACGCGATTCTGGTACGCCCTATACGCCTCGGGGTACTTGCCCCGCGAGATGCTCTCGGTAAAGAGGGTTGAAGAGAAGAACAGCAGGCAGAGGACGATCGCAGGGGTGAGCGGCCAGAAGGGCGTGATAGAGTGTGGCGGGAGCGAGGGGAGCGAGGGGCGCCCCGGGGCGACGAGGGGGAAGAGGGTCATGATAATCTGTTAGATGCAACATAAGGGAAGGGTTAACAGCAGAAGAGAATGATTTTTTGCAGGGCAAGGACACGCACCCAGAACGTCTGCTCGCACAAGAAATTCGGGTGCCGCGACCACGCCCACAGCCCGCGCGTCACGAACCCCCGCTTCACGTCCTCCTCCGTCCAGCGGATGCGGCCTCCCGGCCACTCCTTCATCTCCAGGAACCCCGTGCGCTTGAACGTCTGGAACGAGAACTGCTGGTTGTCCGCGGTGAACTCGACTGCAAGGGTGAGCAGCGCGAGCGCGCCGAGGATGTAGTCCGACGTGGCGAGCGGGGCGTGCGGTTGCGAGGCGGCGATGTGCGTGGGAATGGCGAGGAGGAAGAGGATGATGTTTTGGATTACGGCTGGAAATGGTGCTGGTTAGAAGGGGACACAAGGGGAGGAGGGGAGGTAACCTACCGATGAACGTAAAGTTGATTACTTGGAAGAGCCATCTGGGGATTTTCTCGCGCAGGACTTGCCAGCGGTAGTCTTCCTCATGGCTATATAAGTATCCACTGTCAGTACTGGAACCGTCATAGCTCAGCATCGTATATGCGCACATGTTGAAGAGCCCGCGACGCCAAGTGTTGTAGCTTAGTCTATACACGAGCCGTGTCAGACCAGTGACAAGGACAGCAGACCATAAAACCCGTACCGCAGCATCCATATCACCTGCAAGCCCACCATGACCAGCGCCCTCGGACTCGGATCCATCACCATCCGCCTCGGGGTGTCCCTCGGAACATAAGGGAACAGCGGCAACGGAGAAGTGTGCGGCCACAGCGGCAGCAACGCATAGTACGCGCTGTATATTGTCGGCAAGAACGTCCACACACGGTCGACCTGGGAAACGTTGCCGGTGAGGACAGAGAGGATATAGGTCGTCAGCGTCGTGTACGTCCAGAACTTCAGCGGCCAGCGGAACGTGGGCGGGATCGTTCTGCGGAGGAGCGTGCCCAGCGGTACGGGCGGCATTTTAGCAGATTATAGTCGGCAGAGGCGAGGAATATTTCGAGCTTCGTCGCGCTACACGGCGTGGTCGCAGTCGTGGCGTAAACTTAGGTCGTGCAACAACGCGGGGTCGCCCGTGACGTCATTGGGCCCGCGCCGGAAGTGTAGTTGTGGCTGAGGGTGGCTGAGAAGCGTTCGAACTCCGACATCAGGAAACGGGAATATCTCCGGATGGAGACAGCATCTCCGCGGCTCCGCCACGTGCATCTGGAGATGCCGTCTCCCACTTCGGGAGTTACACTCTTTTGGGCCTAGCAAAAGATTGTATGGTAGGGATATATGAAAGATTGGCTTTTGTAAATGATTTTGGGGCTCACAAAAGATAATCTTTATTGAGAATTTCGAAGCTTGTAATATATATTTTCAGCAGTATTATCTTTGTTGATACATTATAATTAAATCTTTTAGATTCCCTTCTGACACTGGAGGATTTGTAATCTTTAGGGCCTCACAATGGCCTGGTCAATCCTACTCTTCGTAGCCGGTTCCAAACTGTGATTGGTTCCTTGCTCTATATTATGCTTGGAACTCGACCAGACATCAGCTATGCAGTTACCAAGTTAGTGCAATTTGCTGCTAATCCATCCCAAGCCCATTTAGATAAAGCGCTGTATATCTGCCGCTATCTAATCAGGACTCATAACTATACGCTAGCTTTTGATGGTGCTAGTGGACTTGGTATTACTGCGTGCACTGATTCAGACTGGGCATCAGATCCCAGTACCAGGAAGTCCCAAACCGGTTACTTCCTCAAATTAGCCAATGGCATATTCAGTTGGCAGTTGAGAGCACAGAAAACTGTTGCGCTATCCTCCACTGAAGCCGAGTACATGGCGCTCAGTGATTGTAGCCACCAATGTGTATGGGTTAGACAACTCTTCGATGAGTTAGGCTACCAACTCGGCCCCATTCCTATTTGCGGCGACAACCAAGGATCTATTTTCCTTGCATCTAATCCTGTCACTGAGCGAAGGTCTAAACATATTGACATTCGCTATCATTATATCAGGGAAGTCATTGAGCAGAAGAAAGTTGAAGTATTCTACATTGACGGCGAGAATAACCCTGCAGACATGTTCACTAAGAACTTAGGACATGTCAAATTCCTGCGCTTCAGAGCGCAACTTGGACTTAGGTTTTACAAGTAATCTAAGTCAGCCCAATGCTTGCATGCGCCATTATCCGCGGCACTTAGCGAGGGGGAGTGTTGAACTAGGCACTGACTTAGCTGCCAGGTTCTACAATGTACGAGAACGTACCGGAACTCTCTGGAACATTATGGTATATTCCATTATTGTACAAGGGCACGGAGCTCATGTGGGTCAGTGACATCATAGGTGGAGCTCAGTAGGATTAGGGATATTCCACATAGCTTAGTCAGCCTATGGACCACAGTGTATATAAACCCTGCAGCTCTGCTGCCTAATGACAAGGGTCATTTATATGAGCTTTACTAGTAGCTACAGCATCCAAGCAATACAGGTGAGTTGTGTAGGGCGCACTGTGCGTGCTGCTGCCTCCATAACTCTTCATCACTTTCCGCAGACCTTCGAGCAAATCCCTGAGTATGTAAGGAACTCATGAGCGATGTCCTCCGGCACAAAGAAACTCGGGAAGCTCCGTCTGGCGCCAGCATCTTACCCCTCCTTTGGGGGATGGGATGAATTAATTATCACATAGGTGCTTTGCACAAATGCAGCCAGAGTTTGGCTGGCCAGCTGAACACTTATTGCCATCCTGCGCAGTCCGGGAGACATCCTGTCTCCCGGAAAGTGCAGGATGCATGTCCCAATGGATGTAATTTAAAGTAATTATTTCGAATCTTTGACGTATACAAGAGATATTTAGCTCCTTGATTTGGTGTGCAAAATTCACAGCCTGTAGCTGCTGTGGAGTGCAGTTCACAGCATGTAGCTGCTACAGTGAATTGAGATGGAATGCAAAGTACTGTATGATTTCAATCTATTCGGCAGTCACACGTCACAGGGGTACCTGCCAAAGACGAAATCTGGGGTTTGTCACCAGTCACAGGGCCTCTGGGATGGTAGAACTTACCATATATGGTATCAAAGCTGGCCTGCGGGGCCACTTCGCACCATATATAGTAAGATGCCAAAATGACGAATCGGTCAGATAAGTCACACGTCACACCACCTGCCGAATAGATCGAAATGGTACAGTATAGTCTATGCATGGACCGGAGTCTAGCTGCGCGAGATAATTCTGAGTCCGCGCTGTGTGAGGGGCACAGAACTGGACCCATGCAAAGTCCAGAAAGACTCGGCGGATTGTCGGTGCATAAAACAGGTCGTCCAAAATCTGCTGCACGCGGAATTACAGTCGACTCTGTCTTAACCCATACTGTTAGGAAGCGATGTCCTAACTAGTTGTCTTGAGATAACTGGGCCATGTGCCAACAGTTATGTCGTCACTACCTCAGTAAGCATACTGAAAGGCCAGGCCAATGCCAACGGTCAAGTCAAGAGTCCAGGTAATCGCTGTATTCAACAGGAGGTTGAACTAAGGAATACATGGGTTTTCCTACAGTATATATAGTAATTGGTATAGGGGTTAATACCCAAAGAAGAGAACAATAAGAAAGGACGCGTAAGCTATCCTGTGAGAACGTAACTCAGAGAAATGAGAAATACAAGGGTGCCCATTGGTAGAAGGTGAGTCAAGGGAGATAACATGTGAGAAGAAGATAGCGTCCATGGGAAAGTCTACTCAGAGAAAGGTACTGTCCAATAGCAATGCTTGGAATGGAAATGGAATGAGATAAACATGGGAAAATCATAACACCACCTGTGTGGCCCATTCTCGGGACTCCTTCATCACTGTGGGTACCCTACTCCCCAGCATTGGTTGGTTTTACCCCCAGGGGTTCTTGGGTGCATCTCTCTCTTATCTGTTGTATCGCTTCCTCTTCCTCTCCCCTTATCTTACTCTCGTTGCCGCTCCCTTTACTTGGGCCCACCCCATACCCTTTCATTTCCTGTTCCTTTCCTTTGGGTCCTAGGTCGCCCTTCTGCTTGGGGTGTCCGGTGACACGCAGACCTACGAGCCTGCTGTGTGGTTGGTGTGGGGTGTTTTCCCTACTCACATCCTGCCGGTGCTCATCAACGCAATTGCCCTTTGGGCAACCAACTGCTTGGGGTGAACATGCTCGTCTTCCATTTGCTATGAATATTTCAACAGTCCTTTGTTTGTCTTTGGTGAGCTGTAATTAACAATCCGGGATTGTTGCACAATGATTGAATGTGAACAATCATTTTTTAGCACTGCGACTGGCAGCTTCACATGGTAAGTAGTCTGTGGTGGTGCCACCAGGGCCAAACAAAGCATGCCGGTTTTTGCCAGTGTGTCAAAAAGTGGTCCATAATCAGAGGGTGTCAGAACCCCTCTACAAGGAGGGGCATCCAATAATTCTCATGTATGTTGCTTCTTCCGCTGTGTACTCGAGTTAGCCTGAATCAAACATGCCCTGTTACGATTTTCCCATGCTTATCTCATTCCATTTCCATTCCGAGCATTGCTATTGGACAGTACCTTTCTCTGAGTAGAACTTCCCGTGGATGCTACAGTTGAATCTCTCTTAACCCATAGCTCCCATAACCCAATAATCCCCTCTAAACCATAGTTTTTGGCTTCCACCAAGTTGGTAGATAGAACATAACCACTAAAAACCCATAACTCTCCCATAACCCTTAACCCATACCTTTTTCGGCGGTCAAAACCCATAGTTTGAGCTATGTTTAGCCCTATCAGATGCATATGTGTGCTCATTTCAAAGCCATTTACTATTATTTTGACCCTGTTTGACCAGGATATCACTAGATTAGACTAAGAATGTTGTTGGTACAGTGCTATATACCCATATGTAGCGTGATAGAGGGTCCGGAGTATGCTGGGCAGGCCCTTGGTTGTCACGCTCCCACCAGTGTCACAATAGGTCACACTCTGGTAACCCATACTCCCTAAAAACCCATAACTTTGGGGTTCCACCAACCGCTATGGGTTAAGGGAGATTCGACTGTATCTCTTTTCACACCTTATCCCTCCTCACTCACCTTCAACCAATGAGCACCCTTGTATTTCTCATATCTCTGAGTTATGTTCTCATAGGATAGCTTATGTGTCCTTTCTTATTGTTCACTTCTTTGGGTATTAACCCCTATACCAGTAACTATATATACTGTAGGAAAACCCTTGTGTTCCTTAGTTCAACTGAATACAGCGATTACCTGGACTCTTGACTTGACCATTGGCATTGGCTTGGCCAGACCTACCTTTCAGTACACTTACTGAGGTAGTGACGACATAACTGTTGGCATGTGGCCCAGTTATCTCAAGACAACCAGTTAGGACATCGCTTCCTAACATGCCCAATTCTCAGCCTCTGCAGAAAGATATTGTAATGAAGGCCTTCTATTAAAGGCACCCCCATCTTGCCCATATCATACAAGCATCCTCAGAAGAGCTAAGCACAAGCCACAAATGACTGTGGTGGATGGGCTCCGAGGTAGAGAGAAATGGAGGTTTACAGGGTCTTATTACTGTCAAGGCCTGTGCAGACTGGCTTGAGCTGCAAACTTGAAGCTGCTTCAGAACCCAGGGTAATCTCCATCTTGGCTATATGGAGCCTCACAGAGCCCCGGAGCGATGGAGAGGCCCCCCCATCATCCCAAGACGGTCATCTCCGTCCTGAGCCAAACGGACACTTTGGGAGTTACACTCTTTTGGGCCTAGCAAAAGATTGTATGGTAGGGATATATGAAAGATTGGCTTTTGTAAAAAATTTTGGGGCTCACAAAAGATAATCTTTATTGAGAATTTCGCAGCTTGTAATATATATTTTCAGCAGTATTATCTTTGTTGATACATTATAATTAAATTGTTTAGATTCCCTTCTGACACTGGGGATTTGTAATCTTTAGGGCCAGGCAGAAGGTTGTATGAAAGGGAATTCCACAGGCTCTGATTGGCTGGGAATTCTCTTTCATACAACCTTCTGCCCGGCCCTAAAGATTACAAATCCTCCA